TTCTTTTGATAGCCAGCAATAACCTGCAAAGCGCATTCTGCATTTGCCTTAGCTTTTAAAAACATCAGGGATGTGCATTCATAGACTTGTGATTTAGCTGGATGTTTTCTCCAAGAGATATTAAGTATAGCTCTCAGCAATTGGGTTAATGTTCCATCAAGTCTAGGGCGGTAGTTAATGTCGAGGCAGTGGTACCATACATTAACTCCGCCTCTACAATAGCTCCAAAGAATCTCCGCTTGAGTTTGTCTGGTAGATCAGATTATCAACTTAAAAAGTAGTAAAAGAAAGCAAGAAAAGCGTAAATATAAAATGTAAAAAAACAAAGTATGGTGGCCGGCAAGCGAAAAAAAAAAAAAAAAAAAAACACAAGATGCGAACGAACTACGAATTTGACGACACCAAACAATAGAGAAATTTAAATATCTAGCAAGTGTTTTAAACAGAAAGATTTATGAAACTCCGAAATAACGGAATGTGCATTGGGTTAGGGAATGATATATTTCAAAAGCTAATCAAAGTATTAAAAAAAGGAAAAAAAATTGTTATAAACAAAGAAAAGACTACTGAACTAATATCAATTCTCAAAGTGTAGTAGGTGTAACGGTGCCGGTACGTGAGACATCGTCTACCGGTATTTAGAGAGTTTCCAAGAAACAAAGAAACAGTAGTCTCATTCCACGCCAGGGGAGACTGCCGGGATATCTGGGATATTTAAAATTTTCATTTTAGTTCATATATCTCTACAAAATCAATATAAAATAAAAAATTATGCAACTTTTATTATATTAATTATATTTTTCTGGTATAAATGAATAATACTACGATGGTCCAAATAATATTTTCTTGGGACGTTATTATATAATTACATGGCACAGATATGGGGAAACTTGTTACGTCAATTATGACTGTCCTGAGAATGAATAGGACATCATGTCTCCGTATTTAGTAAAGATACTCTTAAAATGACTATGAAATAAGACATATCTTTAAAAAAAATGGGAAGAGCCAAGCTGATTGGAAAACTTTTTAACAAAAATAAATAAAACTGCCGGTACGCAATATCAGATAGTTTGAGAAGTACTGTCCTATATAAATGAATACTGAGCAATCTTCTCAAAGATGAAGAGAAAACCGGAGACAACGGAATAGTGGTTCTACAGAAGGATGCTGAGCATACCAAGGACAGAGCATTTAAGAAACGAGTATGTCTCAAGGAAATTGCAAATAGAAAGACACTTAAATTCTGAATCAGACAGCTGAACTTTCTTGAACATCTAATGAATAAGGAGGGCTTGAAGAATTTGACTCTGACAAGGCATATTTATGGTAAGAAGAACAGGGGAAGGCAGCAAGCCATTTTCTTTACGGGCTTTGGTGAACGGGAAGCGTCTTGACAGAGGACGGTAAGTGCGACACTGAGATCCATGTTAAACATTTTCATGACGGTCGTCCTCGAGTATTGAATCCACAGGTTGGCAGTGAATATTTCGGAGACAGTAGGAAAGCGTACTTTAGGTTCGCAGTGGATATCACAGCAGAGTGTAGGTCATCCTTCTCCTGGTCGCCTTTGGTCCTTCCGGTAGGAGGAAACAAGATGGCCGCCTTTATACACGATGAATACAGTGTTAGGCGGCTTCTGATTGATCAACCTTCTATTGGTCGACTATAAAGGGAAATAAGTCATTCTGACTCGCTCACTAGTTATGTGCTATATTGATGGCCACGGCTCGAATGGTGATTTGGACGACGCGAATGGAGGAAGTCTTGCGGGGCAACCGTCTTTCTTATCAGCATCTAATCCAATTCTTTGAGCATCAGCTCAAGATGAAGATTAGATCTGATAGAAAACGATTGCATTCGACAGTCTTCAGCGAAAGGTGGGTAAAATAAGCAAGCCTGGTTCGTGTGAGCGGGGCTAGCCTTGATTTTCTTTTTTAAGTCAACCTATAGCACATCGGGGTGGCTTCCTGTGGAACCCTCCCTTGGTTAGGTTAGACAAGCTTCAGTGTACCTAGTTAATGTGAGTAAGTGTCGTTCCTGGCCTGTATCCCGGCTGCTCTTTGGTTATGGTCCAAGTCGAGATTCCCAGCCTCCCCAGTTTGTTTTGGTCCCCTTTCATCTCGATTGGATCAGCTTTACATTTCCCATGTCCGTATAATATTTTATCCTCTTTTCCCACTCCCCTTAGCGAGAGTGCTTCTTGATTTTGTCCTCTGGGCAGAATACAGCAGCCTCTCTGTTTTGAGGGTTGGACGGTCCCTACTAACATACGTTATGTTTATTTTGTATTTTGTGTATATTTTAGTTATTTTCGGGGTTCATCTCCTCCCCCTCTCATTGTATCATTATTAGATTTTTATGTATAGAATATTTTTCATCATCCAATTTTTATGGTTTTGGGGCGCGTTTTGGTAGGTCCCCTTGTGAGAATCTGGTATTATGGTGCATGAAGGATTGAGTGGTGATGGACAAGTTCTTGTGGTGAATGGGTTAATTGTAACGTATGAATGGGTCGTGAATCTGATTAGCTAGGTATAAGATAGTTAGTGAAGACCAGCCTCTACCCCCTCCCCTTTCGGCCTTGTGCCACAATTCTGTAAATAACGGAATAAATATCCTAGTTATGTGCTATATATACCCAAAAAACCGTAACAATCCATAGAGGTATTGGGATGGCCAAGGACACATTCCAAAAGCTGGGCAGACTATTACAAGACAGGAGGATTTCTTTGGTAATAAATAAAAGAATACTGAGCTGTTCTTTACGGCAGCAAATGTTGGACGATTTCCTCAAAGATGAAGACGTGACTTGAGGCGACAGAGATGTGGTTCTTCACAAGGATGCTAAGGATATCATGTACCGAGCGTGTGTGCAACGATGAGGCCTTAGAGAGGTTGCAATGAAGGAGAAGGCTTATACTTAACATCAGAATGAGGTAGCTGAAATTTCTAGGACATATAATGAGGAAGGAGGGCCTGGAGAATCTGATACTCACGGGTCGGAGAGAAGGAAAGAGAGAGAAGGGAAAACAACGGATGACATACCTGACGAGCTTGAACAGGTGGATGGCAGAACGTGGTCTGGCGGGTGTGGTAGATGGAAAGAACTTGTTGAAAGCTACAAGAGATAGAGGGAGGTGGAGAGCCATGATCGCCCACGCCCTGAAGGGATATGGCACATAAAAAGTCGAAGAAGACGCCAAGCACATGGGAGTGGCATCGCCTACTTTATCTTCTTGTTCCCTCTCTCTTGGCCGGATTAAAGAAGGTTAACTATATTTTACGGCATATATGACGTGCGAATATATTTAGAAGACAAACAATTGTAATATGCAGTATTATATATTTATTGACAGTGATCTCATGAATGAAAAACTAATTTTAGCTTCATTTAAAAACAATATATATTAGAATCAAGGCAGAATTTGCGGGGTAACTATGAAGCGACGACGAAAAAACAGGGGAAATTGAGCGTATCAAAAATGAGTTTAAGTACAAAAGAGCGTATGTAAGCAAATATGTGGATATAGATCCGACAGTATGAAGAAAAATATATGGAAAAACAAAAATCCGAATATGCAAATATGCTGTTTTAATGTTGTTTCAATGTCGACATCAGACGTTTCGGTCTAGTAGACCTTCTTAAGGACATAGTTATTAAAACATAATTAACATTAGACGATATTCTAGCAAGATTAATGCTCGACAAACGTACTTATGAATTTCAGATTAAAATAAAATTCTTTTTCATTTTTCATTTAAAATATACTCTATTTTAGGAATACGTTTTCACAACATCGCCCACGTGACGCCGACGTGATCGTATTGCGAAACGGAACACTGATCTTTAAAAATTTCAGTTATTCTGTTTTGATTAGTCTTATGTCTATCGTCTTTTCATGTTGACTTGAATATCGTCTAATGTTAATTATGTTTTAATAATTATGTCCTGAAGAAGGTCTACTAGACCGAAACGTCTGACGTCGACATTGAAACAACATTAAAACAGCATATTTGCATATTCGGATTTTTGTTTTTCCATATATTTTTTTTTTCAAAAGAGCGTATGTAAAACAGAGCGTGACAAAACTGAGCATAAATACAAAAGAATTTAAGACAATTGTAAGTAGAAAAAAAAAGTAAAAAACTGGGAGTAAACATAAGAGTGTTATACACAGTTGTAAGTTGAAAAGATCGTAAGACAAATGATCATAAAAACAAAAGAGTTTAAGACAGTTGTGAGTAAAGAAAGAGCGTAGGACAATTCAGCGTGAAAACAAACAAAAAAAAAAAAAGATTAAGACAATTGTAACCAGAAAATAGCGTAAGGCAATTGAGCGTAAATACAAAAGACTTTAAGACAGTTTTGAGTACAAAAAGGCGTAAGACCAATTCAGCGTAAAAACAAAAGAACTTAAAACAATTGTAACCAGAAAAAGAGCGTAGACTACTGAGCGTAAATAGAAGACTTTAAGACAACTGTAAGTAGAAAAGAACGCAAGACAATTCAGCGTAAAAACAAAAGCATTTTTAAGCCATTTGTAATCAGAAATAAGCCTAAGAGAACTGAGCGTAAATGCAAGGTTAAGATTGAATGGTCTTACGCTCTTTTCTAGTTAAAATTGTCTTAAAGTCTTTTGTATTTACGCTCAGTTTTCTTACGCTCTTTTCTGGTTACAATTAACAGAAAAGAGCGTAAGAAAACTGAGCGTAAATAAAGACTTTAAGACAATTTTAACTAGAAAAGAGCGTAAGACCATTCAGCGTAAAAACAAAAGCGTTTAAGACAATTGTAAGCGTAAGACAACTGAGCGTAAATACAAAAGAGTTTAAGACAGTTGTGATTAGAAAGAGTATAAGGAAATCACCGAAGTTAAGCAACGTCAAGCCTGGTCAGTACCTAGATGGGTGACCGCTTGAAAATACCAGATGCTGTAAGTTTGGATGTGCGGGTGGTGTAATGGACAATGGCTCGGAATTGTTAATCGGAACGCCGATTTCTCGTCCGATCACCGAAGTTAAGCAAAGTCGAGCCTGGTCAGTACCGAGATGGGTGACCGCTTGAAAATACCAGATGCTGTAAGTTGGATGGGTGGTGTAATGGACAATGCTCGATGGGTGATAATCGATGAACGCCGATTTCTCGTGGTGTCACCGAATTGTTAATTAATCACAAAGCCTGGTCAGTACCGAGATTGGTGACCGTGAAAATGCCTGGTCAGTATGTGCGGGTGGGTAATGGACCGATAGATAATACCAGATACGATCACTGTAAAATTAGTCGAGCCTGGTTGAAATGTGGACAGTGATGGAAAAGAGTGGTGGATGGTGTAATGGACAATGGCTCGGAATTGTTAATCGGAACGCCGATTTCTCGTACGATCACCGAAGATTAAGAAAGTCGAGCCTGGTCATAGACCGAGATGGGTGACCGCTTGAAAATACCAGATGCTGTAAGTTTGGATGTGCGGGTGGTGTAATGGACAATGGCTCGGAATTGTTAATCGGAACGCCGATTTCTCGTACGATCACCGAAGTTAAGCAAAGTCGAGCCTGGTCAGTACCGAGATGGGTGACCGCTTGAAAATACCAGATGCTGTAAGTTTGGATGTGCGGGTGGTGTAATGGACAATGGCTCGGAATTGTTAATCGGAACGCCGATTTCTCGTACGATCACCGAAGATAATGAAAGTCGATAGCCTGGTCAGTACCTAGATGGGTGACCGCTAAAAAATACCAGATGCTGAAATAGTGGACAGTTTGGTGGATGGACAATGGCTCGGACAATGGCTAATCGGAACGCCATTTCGGACGGTGGTATGTGCGTCGAGAGGTCTATCAGGACAATAACTAGATAGATAGATAGATACGATGTGCGTTAATCGGATACGATGATTTCTCGTAGTGATCACCGATGGAAAGCAAAGTCGAGCCTGGTCAGTACCTGGCTCGGATGGGTGACCGGTGCTTATGCCTGGATGTGCGTGAGATGCTATCAGAAGTTTGGATGTAGATAGATAGATAGTGGTGTAAATGGACAGATGATGGCTCGAATTGGTGTAATGGACAATGGCTCGGAATTGTTTCTCGACGGTGATCACCGAAGTTAAGCAAAGTCGAGCCTGATAGTAGATACGATGCTACCGAGATGGGACAGTGATGACCGCTGTTAATGAAAATACCAGATGCTTATGCCTAAGTTTGGATGTGATACCGATTGAAAATACCAGTGTAATGGACAATAACTCCATGGAATTGTTAATCGGAACGCCGATTTCTCGTCCGATCACCGAAGTTCATTTCAAAGTCGAGCCTGGTCAGTATCTGAGATGGGTGATAGATTGAAAATACCAGATGCTGTAAAATTAAAGTTTGGATGTGGCGGATGTGGGTGGATGGTGTAATGGACTCGCTCGGAATTGTTAATCGGAACGCCGATTTCGTGACGATCTATCAAGATAGATAGATAGATAGATAGATAGATAGATAGATACGATGCTAAAAATAGTACACCATGTAAAATAGTGGACAGTGATGGAAAAGAGTGGTGGATGGTGTAATGGACAATGGCTCGGAATCTCATTTCGCGACGATGGTGACCGGTCTTGAAAGATAGATAGATGCTGATAGATAATGTGCGGTTTGGATACGATGTAGTACACCATGGAAATAGTGGACAGTGATGGAAAATAGTGGTGGATGGTTAATACAATGGCTTGGAACTCATTTCGATTTCTATGTACGATCACCGAAGCTATCAGAGATAGATAGATAGATAGAAGATCGATAGATAGATGATGCTAAAATTACCTGGTGTAATGGAAATAGTGGACAGTGATGGAAAGAGTGGTGGATGGTGTAATACAATGGCACGGAATCTCATGCGACGGTGCTTATGCCTATGTGCGTGAGAGGCTATCAGAGGGTAGATAGATAGATATAGATAGGATAGATGATAGCGATGCTAAAATTAGTTAATCAGTGGACAATGATGGAAAAGTGGTGGATGGTGTAATGGACAATGGCTCGAATCCATTTCGCGACGGTGCTTATGCCTATGTGCGTGAGAGGCTATCAGAGATAGATGGATAGATACCGAGATAGGTGACCGATAGAAAATACCAAATGCTAGTACACCATGTGCGGGTGGTGTAATGGACAATAACTCGGAAAAGAGTAATGGAACGCCGATTTCTGGCACGAATAGATAAATTCGAGCCTGACCATGGCCGAAGTTATGTGCAACGTGCGAGCCTGGTCAGAATTGTTAATCAGACGCCGATAGATAGATAGATGATAGATTGCTTAGATGAGAATACCATGCTAAAATTAGATGCTGTGAAAATACCAGACAGTGATGGAAAAGAGTGGTGGATGTAATGGACAATGGCTCGGAATTCATTTCGGATCGCCTATGTGAACTATCAGAGATAGATAGATAGATTTCTCGATAGATACGCTAAAATTAGTACACCATGTAGTGAAATAGTGGACAGTGATGGAAACGGATGGTGTAATGGACAATGGCTGAATCTCATTTCGCGACGGTGCTTATGCCTATGTGCGTGATCAGAGGATGATAGTTTGATAGATAGATAGATAGATATACCATAGATAGATGTACGATTAAAAAATACGACCATGTAGTGAAATAGTGGACAGGTGATGGAAAAGAGTGGTGGATGGTGGTAATGGACAATGGCTCGGAATTCATTTCATCGACGGTGCGATTTCCTATGTGTACGATCACCGAAGATAATAGATAAAGATAGATAGCCTGGTCAGTAGATAGATGGGTGACCGCTTAGAATACCAGATGCTGTAATAGTTTGGAAAAGCGGGGATGGTGTAATGGACAATGGCTCGGAATTGTTTCGCGACGGAACGCCGATTTCTCGTACGATCACCGAAGTTAAGAAAGATCGATAGATGGTCAGATAGATAGATGGGTGACCGCTTGAGAATACCACCATGCTGTAAATAGTTTGGATGTGGTGGATGGTGTAATGGACAATGGCTCGAATTGTTAATCGAACGCCGATTTCTCGTATGTGCCGAAGCTAAACAACGTCGATAGATGGTCAGATACCTAGATGGGATGATTGATTGAGAATACCAGATGCTGTAAGTTTGGATGTGTGGGTGGTGTAATGGACAATGGCTCGGAATTGTTAATCGGAACGCCGATTTCTCTTACGACCACCGAAGTTAAGCAACGTCGAGCCTGGTCAGTACCTAGATTGGTGATTGCTTGAGAATACCACATGCTGTAAGTTTGGATGTGCGGGTGGTGTAATGGACAATGGCTCGGAATTGTTAATCAGAGAACCGAGTTCCACTTTTGCTTGTGTTCGTAAATCTTTTTTTTTTTCTCTTTCTCTCTACTTAAAGCTTTTTCGTTTTCTTATATTCTTTCACTTTATTAAACCAGTTGCGTCTTAGTGACTGTATTGCTTTGCATGGCGTGAAACGATTAAAACCAAAATGATATAGCTCGTAAAATAAAACGAAGGCGACATTTTGACTCTCTGGTATGTTTTCCGGCTCAATAACTAGGTTAATGTTATTTGTACTTAAAATAAGTTGCGCGTTTTTACTTAAATAAATCGGGTTTATATATAGAAACTATAGTTTGCAATAAAGAGATATTCCCAAAAATGGATTATATTTCGACTTTAACCCGTTTAGAATTCTTTTCCGTGGATTTTGAGTACCAAAAACTGAGTCATCACCGGCTGGACTATAGGAATAGAGGTCTAGATCTTGATTTTCTGATAAATACAAGGACATTTATTACGAAAACTGATAGTTGGTGCCAAAAGCGAATAATGATTAATTTACAAAGTGTAAGGAATTAAGTAAGTATTAAATAACTTACAGAAAACTATTATTGTATTGATAAGATTCAAATTGTTTAAATATCTGTGAACTTACACAATAAAGGAGAAAAAATTGTGATGAACATTTTTTATTATCCTTATTCGAAGTTTGGTGGTCAGAGATAAAAAAAAATAAATCAAGCAGACTATTCTAATATCCCGAATCAATTGTTTTATCCTCTGCTAAGAAAGTTTGTTCACTGTGTCGTGCAAGACAATTTTTCTCTCCATAATCTATCTTACATATTTATAAGTCCATGCTTAGAATATTGCTACTACATATAGTCCGTTGCCCTTGCTATTTACCTGTTGTGCTATCTTTTCTATGTTTTTCCTCCCAATTAATTTTCAACATTAACACCTAAGGCTCTTCTGCCATGGTTTAGAACTAGATAGTTAAAGATACTGTAATTTCTTTCGCTTTTTTTTATGTTACTACTAAAACCCAAATCCCGCGCTCATAATATTAGTAACGCCTCTAATTTGCAGCAGTAGTGATAATAACCGCCATGATTCCGTGACTCGTTGCGCGTCTTCAGGCTTACATTCTCGGCTGATATAAAGTGGAATGGTTATATTGAGTCATCCACTGTTAAGGAAACTGATTTACTGTGTCACGTAAAACCATTTTTCTCTCCTGAATCGATCTTACATACTATTCTTCTATTCTTTGAATATTGCTACCACATATGGTTTAATACTCTAGTTTTATATTTAGAGATCCGTGATAAAATCCAGAGAAGAATCAGCAATATTATTGGTCCTGACCTAGCATCTCGGCTTCCGTTACTTTTCCATCGCCGTAAAGTTGCTTGCCTGTGTTTTTTATATATATTTTTTTTCATGGGAATTAATCGGATGATCTCTCATCTGTGATTACTAGAGTCTATGAATTTAAACGCAGTACTAGATTTGCAGCAAGATCTCATCATTTTACAGTTGGAATAGCTAGATATAACCGTAAGTTCTATGCTGACAGCATATTTTCTAGCACTTCTCGCTTCTGGAAATATTTTCCGGTTTCTTGCTTTCCGGCCAAATTTGATCTTCAAAAATTTAAATGCAGTAGCAATCGTCTTCTGTCTTCTTAATTCACGTTCTGTTTTTGTTCTCGTTCATTAATAATGTTTTTCTTACATTCTCTAACACTCAGTAACCTCTTGCGTCTTAGTGGCTTTGTTACCTTGATTGGGATGAAATGATTAGCAAAAAGGGAATATGGGGAAAAGTTGCATTAATTTGATTGAATGCTGTGTTGTTGTGCCTGGGAATTCACTTCATGTAGGTCATTTTTTGAGAACGAATATCAAGTTAAGCAAAAAAGTTTCTCTCATGGTGAACGACACGACAGCGGCTGAGGCTCGCCAGTTCAGGCCGGCAGGTCGTCTTCGTCCCGCGTTCGAACTTTGACGAGCAGAGACGGCAACCCTCTCGCAGATGGCAGTCGGTCGAACGAGGAACAGGCTCGCGCGAACCTGAGTGCCCTGCCGTGACAACTTCGACTCTCGGTAGCACTTTCTCGACGGCTTGGCGGCGGCTTTTGAGCGCCTATCCATGCCGGCAGGTCCGAACTTTGACACTATAACACTGATTTCAACAAGTTTCCAATGACTTTTGACGCAAAAAAAAGGTATAAAAAGCAACTCTCCAGAACTGATCATCTAAAAATAAATTATTAAACATAGGCGAGTTTTGATTAAATTAAAACGATTCTAACTTGAAAAATTCTTGGAGTTAGGCTAAAATTCAACCTGTTCTGGAATCTTGAGACTGTCTACTACTTTCAGACTAGATATGGCACATATCACTTTAGAAATGTTCGAAGAATACCAATACATCCACTTGGAATCCCACCGTATTTCGAGGGTTAATACGGCTAACTAACACTTAGCACGTTCGGACATGAATTTGTAACCTAACAAATATAATTTCAAGCTTGTTTCTATCTCCACTATTAGCGACGCTACGCAGTCGTGGACCGTATTTACTAATCAAACCTTGCAGTTTATGCAGAGAAAGTAATACGAAGAATTCAAACACTTAAGAACTGTTAACATTTAATCAGCTGTGACCGAGTTGATAACCGTAGCTGCATAGATCTGTTTTTCTTTCTTTATACAAACAAAATAAACTTTTAATCAAAATCTAAACTCACCTGTTGCTTTCTTGGGCGGTAATTCTTTGAACTCCGTACCGCATAAGCACTAAGAAGACGAAAGCTCGCAATGATGGCAACACGAGAGGAGCCATCTTGCTGTAAGAGGAACTCTACTTTCGGGACTCCTTGGAAATAATGTTCTTTCTAGTGTTACTGAGTGGAGTTGTGGAGCTGATATGAAGGGTTCTTCGCCAAATGCGAGTCTTCAACCAATGTTGGGCGTGCCTAGGATCTTTTATATAAGGGAAGGTTTCTTTACACACTTAATCAAACACAGCTGAAATAAATAGTCTGAGAGTCAGGTGTGGACTTTTTTTTTCCTTTTGTTCCGAAATAAATTGATTACCGATATGACAAACCGATCAGTCTGTCGGCGTTAAGTGCCTTTAATAACCTTTGATTATTGATTTGGATTAAATCTTTATTTTATTTTATTATTTATTCTTTTTTACTGAGGATTATTTTTGCGTGGGTTAGGAAAATACTGAAGGTAATCAATGATTGCGAACCTAAAACTTAGAAAAAAAACTTTTTAAAAAGAATTATTTTATTTAGAACACTTTTGGCTTTTGTGTTTTTTCATACACGGTTTAAGCTTATCGCCTTGAGCCCTTCGATCCAGACGAATGTGTTTCATTCCTGTACATATATTCATGACATCTTGTGTCCTCATTTTTTATCTAAGCTGGGTCTTTTTAATCTCCTAATGTTTTTTAATCGTCAAAAATCTTTTAGTGTCCTCTTCTTTTTTATCAACAAAGAGTTTTTTAGTGTCTTCATTCTTTTTATATATCAAGAATCATTTTAGTGTCCTCTGCTTTTTATCAATAAAGAGTTTTTTTTATGTCTTCATTCTTTTTATATATCAAAATCATTTTAGTGTCCTCCGTCTTTTTATCAATAAAGAGTCGTTTAGTGTCTTCATACTTTTTATCTACCAGGATTCATTTTAGTGTCCTCTGTCTTTTTATCAATGAAGAGTCTTTTAGTGTCTTCATTCTTTTTATATATCAAAATCTTTTTACTGTCCTCTGTCTTTTTATCAATAAAGAATGTTTTTAGTGTCTTCATTCTTTTTGTATATCAAAATCATTTTAGTGTCCTCTCTCTTTTTATCAATAAAGAATCTTTTTAGTGTCTTCATTCTTTTTATCTATCAGGAATCATTTTAGTGTCCTCTGTCTTTTTATCACTAAAGAGTTTTTTAGTGTCTTCATTTTTTTATATATCAAGAATCATTTAATATCCTCTGTCTATTTATCTATACAGAGTCTTTTTTTCATTCTTTTTATCTATCAAGAATTATTTTAGTTTCCTCTTTCTTTTTATCAATAAAGAGTTTTTTTAGTGTCTTCATTCTTTTTATATATCAGGAATCATTTTAGTGTCTTCTTTTTTTGTATCTATAAAGAGTCTTTTAATGTCCTTATTTTTTATCCATAAAGAGTCCTTTTAGTACCTTAATTCTGTCCATTCACCAAGAGTTCTCAAGATCCTAATTCGGTTTATCCATCAAGCGATAAAATATTTTCATCTCATATTGATTTTTTACATGGATTTCTTTCATTTTAATTTACGTTTTCTTTATTTATTTACACCCCTAATATTTATAAGAGTAATTTTAATTTGTGATAATAATAATATCTTATTAGTTTGATTCATAATTAATTTCCGTTTGGGAGACCAAACGTAATGACTAATATATCATCCTAATTATTAATCATAAATATCAATTAAGAATAGATTTTTAGTACACTAACATACCTTAGTTTTTTTTTTATGAACTTTCAGTGTTGACAGTCAACCGCCATAGAGGCTCCACTCCGGGTTTCTGCCTGGATTTACTTCCATAGCCTTTTTCCGCGTTTGGTTGTGACCGCAAGGCAAGCGGAGGTTTAAAATCACGGTTTTCCTTCCATAAATGGATCGTCTTCCCAAGCTGACAAGCTCCTTCTACCCGAAATTATTAAAAAAAATAATTAAGAATATTATATAATTAATAATTAAAATTAAAGACTCATTGAAAATATGATATCATTGACGTGGAGGAAGTCTGTTAGCAAATCTCGCCGGTAGACCTAGACACGGCTTCGTAGTTAATAAACGAACGTTGGGCCATAATTAGAAGCGTTGCTTTTTGCTTTTTGCTACGGGAATAGTCGGCTCGTGTCGTTGCATTTCTAAATGTTATATTTGAGCTTTCAGCCTCATCATTTCGCAGCCCTTTTTCGATCGGGGAGGTTCAAACAATTTTAGGCCCATAGCACAGGGGGGCTTTCCCTCCAGGCAGTACATCTTCGGTTTCAAAATGAAGGAAATTTATTCCTCTTCAAAATTATGAGGGTTGATTTATAAGTAAGGTCTTCAATCCTATAAAACAAGTTTTAGACCAGATAGAATAAAGAAAATGGTACCAAATGAAGGAAATTCATTTCTCTTCAAAATTACGGGAGTTATTGATAAGTAAGGGCTTCAAGAGGAGGTACCGTGGAGTTATGGATAGCTCGGATTGAGGAATCGGAGAGCCGAGTTCGAATTCCAGTCGAATCCATTACATTTACTTACGTGCTAATACCCTTGGGAAAGGTATGGATCTTCTTCTTCTCCCCTATATATATATATATATATATATATATGCAAGTTTCATTAAATAATATAGACAAATTTTGTCTATTTATTTTAAATAAGTTCTTTCATATTGTCTAATAAAAGCTACGAAGGAAATCACCATATTGGTCCATGTTTAAATCCAATCTAAGCTTTCGGCTTAGCCATTATCAAAGATGACAATTACATTTCAATATATCTAACAACACACAGACGAATCAATAATGATAGTCTGTTTTTTTGCATGAAAAATTTCAAAGCAACGACTAGTGTATACGAGACGCGGAAGCGAAAATCGCGTTGCAGCTCGTAACGTCACACATGACCACGCGAGAGTGAAAACGAGAAGTATTAAGTATGGAAAGCCGTTGCAACAAAACAGACTATAATTATTGTTTCGTCCGTGTGTTATTTGATATATTGAAAAGTAATTGTCATCTTTGATAATGGCTTATGTAAGCCGAAAAGCTTAGATTGGATTTAAACATGTATCAATATGGTGATTTCATTCGTCTTTCAATGATAAATTAAGCTTATCAGACAATATGAAAGGAACTTAAAATAAATAGACAAAACTTGTCGATATTATTTAAACATATATATATATACATATATATATATATATATATATATATATATATATATATATATATATATATATATATATATATTGTGTATATTTAGGCACAATATTTTCATTCAACCAGGGTTTATTAAAGAATTTAGAGATATCATTTCGATTAGTTTTCATTGAGATCCTTCACGGATTAATTTCTTGTTAGCCTTTGAAAATCGATTAAGAAAAATACCAACATTTTTTTCAAGTAGTTTTATTTTCCCAAGTACTTTCAATCTCATCTGAGATCACCTTCAGGAAGTTGAGTTTTTTGTGAGTATGTATACGTGTTTCTTGGCGTTTAAAACATTTCAACTGTTTGTTTTTACTTCTTATGCATCATTCTAGATACCTTCGTTCAAAGTTCATGTTTTTGTTTCCTAGTATATGGGAAGTTATTTTTATGTATGCTCATATATATATATATATATATATATATATATATATATATATATATATATATATATAAGGGCTAAATACAAGAGTAGAGCGATAATTATTTATTATAAACTGTTACAGTATATCATGCAAGTTACCGTGACAAAAATGCATATTTATTTCGACGTCCAAATGCAGCGATCAATTTTTTTATTCTTCTGTAGTCTATGGTTGCCTATAGCTGCCAGTCTTTTCTTCATCGTTGAGGAGATTATCATCCTTCTATAGAACCACATCTCTGTAGCCTCAAGTCTCCTCTTCATCTGTGAGGAGATTGTCCAGCATTCACTGCCATATAGGAGGATTGATATTACATAGCAGTTAAGCACTCTTTGCTTTGTATTCTCAGCATCCTTCTATAGAACCACATCTTTGTAGCCTCAAGTCTCCTCTTCATCTGTGAGGAGATTGTCCATCATTCACTGCCATATAAGAGGATTGATATTACATAACAGTTAAGCACTCTTTTCTTTGTATTCTCAACATCCTTCTATAGAACACCATCTTTGTAGCCTCAAGTCTCCTCTTCATCTGTGAGGAGATTGTCCAGCATTCACTGCCATATAGGTAGATGGTTATATTACATAGCAGTTAAGCACTCTTTTCTTTGTATTCTCAGCATCCTTCTATAGAACCACATCTTTGTAGCCTCAAGTCTCCTCTTCATCTGTGATGAGATTGTCCAGCATTCACTGCCATATAGGAGGACTGATATTACATAGCAGTTAAGCACTCCT